AAAAAAAAAAAGAAACCACAAGTTTATATTGAATATGTAACCTATTTCTTCTCATTGACTCCCCTAATGTAAAACGTGTACCAAAATATGTAAAATGGGTTCAAAATGGAGTACAGTACACCATCTTAATAAAGTGCTTTTTAAAAAAAAATATTTTGGTAATTTTTTTATGTCTAAGATATGTCAAGTTAACCTTTTCTTTTTTCAGATTCACTTCTTTTTGTTAACTTCCACATTACGTAGAGTAGGCACATTTAAGCTTTAGAACTGTAGATATAAACAATGGGGAGGATTTTATAGAGAATATTGCATTTGTTCTGCTGTAGCCCAAAAAAAAAAAAGGGGGGGGGGAAAGTAAATTACAGCTTGAATGGTTTTGGCCTGGAGTTTCTAGTGAAGAGCCATTCATGCGCTGCATTGCATTGACTTTCAAGAAAAACTTTCTATCATTTTTGAAGGTTAATTCATGTATGAAGATGTAGGAGAAAACCAAGGCACAAAGTGACTGCTGTGCTGAAGTATCGTACTCAAACTGCAACCTTGTCAAATATTTGAAATCCTTACCTTGTGATTCCGTCTTTGTCTTCGCCTCAGGCGGAGGAACTCTTTCTGTTGCCTGGAGACAAAATTAACCCCAGCATATTCTAGCAATGCAGCAAATACAAAGAGCAGACACACAGCCATCCAGATATCAATGGCTTTCACGTACGAGACCTGAGAGACAAAACAGATTTTCTTTGTTAGACCAAACAAGGCGACAGCTTCAACTCACAGTTCAAATGCAGCAGGAATTTCTGATTTCACTTAGAACTCTAATCCAGTTATGATATCAAAGTCAGCAAAGCAGTTTCACCCTTTGCTAGTTAAAGTGTGATATTCAAATGAATGTTAATATTTACAGAGTGGGATTGACACTGAACAATGGGAAAAATTCTGCTGTGAATTGATTCCTGGTTTGGATCTCTAATTTTTGGAAAGTTAAGCATAACGTTTGCAGCTTTTCCTTCCAATCCCTAAGACTTTGCTTCTTCATGACGGCTGATTAACGTTTCCAGAAGTCAAAGCTCTCAAAAAAATCTCTTGAAATATTTATCAGCCTGTGTGTGTTTCATGCCTTTCATGTCCTTCATGACAGAAGCTGTAGCCTTTGATAATGATGAGATTGATTGATTGTTGAGATCCTACTCAGTGGGCCTGGAGGACTCTTCACAAGAAGTGTGCGGCTGTTTTCCATAATTGAAAATAAGCTTCTTCAATCTCGCTCTGCTGTTTGTAATGCATAGATGTTCTGTGTGACAGACACGCAAGGACAATAGTGCTGTTGACATCAGGGTACTCTAGATGAGTAGTTCTACAGTTTCTTTCTTAGATTAAAGATATCCTTATCAGTTTGTGTTAGCCTGTCGTTTATATGGGCCAAACATTTATGTTGATTTATTTACTCCTCCATTTAGATTGGATTGTGTTTGTTTAGTTGACGAAACCGCTTTTTTTCTTTTGATATGTTACTAGCATGTTTTTGCTTTTATTGGCAGCCATTTTTACCTAGCACAATAAAGAGAGAAATAAAGTGAATGCAGCTGATCTATGCGGACAGACGTTCCAATACACAGCCAACAACTGCAGACTGTTTTTATAAAAACACTCCCTGAACTAATGTCTTGTCTGACTGGCCAGATTCAGCTGTATGACATCAACACCCTGGAAAGGTTTCAATACACCTTTAACGACAACGACTCTCAGATTTATTTTGAGCTTTTGGTGATCAGCATGGAAAAGTACTTATTTTGCTTTCACTGACCTTACAACAAAGGGCTTAAACAATGTTTAAAAGTAAGAGTTTAGGTCCCAGATTATATTTGTTCCTTAATGACAACTACTCCAAATTATAGCCAGTAAAGGTCCTTTTCTTTGTAAACCTATAATGAAAGAAATTTTGTTTTTTTTAGAAATAAATTAAAAAGCAATCAATATACATGTATATCGCCATTAATGATAAGAATATCATATATTCAGCTCAATCTACTGACAAACAAGTCAATGAGATTGTTGATTAGAGCTGCAGTCAAGAGGCCAACTATAGAGGAGCTGCAGAGAAGGTGGATGTTAGAAATCTGTTCATAGCACAACTCTTTTTTGTCAACTGCACAAATCAGGCATTTATGGGGAGATGGCAAGAAAAGAAATGGTAATGGTAGTAACATGCTGTGGGGTTGCTTCTCTTAAGCTGGCTAAGACTATGGGAAGATGAAGGCAGCTAAACAAAGCAAAGAGTGTAAAGATAGACATTGTACTACAGCAAGATGTTTAAATAAATGAATGTATGTGCCTCTCAATGATTGTTAAAAAAACGAATTAAAGCATAAGATCTCCTATTTTGTCTTTTTACTTATAATGGTAAAACAGAGAGAGAGAGAACAGTTTACCTTTGGAAGAGAAGCTCTAGAGCCAGAGCTTTGAGTGGTCATCGTAAGCACAGTGGTGATGCCCAGTGCCACTCTCGCAGGAGCAGCATCCATATTTATCCAAAAAGACACCCAGGAGAGGATGACGATGAGGAGAGAAGGAATGTACATCTGGATCAAGTAGTAACCCATTTGTCGTTCCAGGTGGAATTTAACTTCAATACAGGTGAATTTGCCTACAGCATTGGAACAAATACAATTCATAGGTAAGGCTGGGGGAGAGTATAGCTTACATAAACATGATTATGGTGTGCATGTTTGTCCTCTGACCAGTATTGTAATGTTTAGTGCAGTATCCCAACTCCTTCTCTTCCCTCATGATGAACTGAGGCAGGGTGAGTCCCTCTGACACCTGCACCGCACCGTTCTCCAGCCACTCAAAAACCAAGTCGTTCATAGTGTAGCCAACTGAGGATAACAAACGGTAGGAGGAGTTTAGATAAAGCCTAGATTTTCCATACAGAAAATCCAGAAAAAACTGCAGAAGAAAAAAAATGTGAGTGCTCACAACTCTCCAGCTGCATCGTACAGGTTTGCACATCCATTGGGAAGTTTTTAAGATCCATTGGACATGACAGAATAAGAGTCAACCTGTAACACCAGAGAATGTCATGGAACAAAAGAAAGGGGGTTCAGTGGAATATGCTTTTGTAACTTTGAACCAATGCCTCAATACAAGACTTCACAGTAGATGATGAATCCCATTACTGTCAGTAGCTTTTGGGTCATATCTTAAAGGATTCCCTTCAGCGGGTTCTCATATCACACTTTCATTACTGCAACTTATTGTTTCTGTGATGCAATGTGTTCTGCAGTCTGCCCACTCTATCACCCCCTCCCCCCTTATCCCCACCCCTTCACTTAAGAACCTAGCTAACCACCTTTCATTTCTCTCATTCACCCACTCTACCTCCACACCTGTGCACTACTCAGCCCTGAGCTGCTTTCCAAGTGGACTCAAAATTGATCTGTGTTACATCCATTGCCTCTTTGCAGAAATAAATTGAATACTGCATGTGGCAGAGGTTGTATGAAAATGAGAAGCAACCTGTTTTCAAATGTTGTACCAGGTCTGTTTTTTTTTTACAGTTACAGGTGTAAGGCTCTTTGATTGTCGCATATGGAGTATTCTCTAAGCTATGCTGTGCTTAGAGGCAAAAACGAAGAATAACTTCTTCTATCTTTGCTTTAGATTTTCATCCGAAGCCCCTGAGATGAGCTTGCCTTTTTCAATCAGAGTTCCTTTCTATGAAAGAATACCAAGAATAAAAAAACAATCTTTCTTGCCTTAGAGATCCACTGATGTTCAATGTATTAGAGTGTTTCAAAGGAGAGAACAGATAACATCAATTTCAAATTGCATGCTTTAGATTGAGAGTCTTTGAAGTCTGAGAATGTTTAAGAAAAATGCAGTAAGTGAATGTGTTCTGGTGTAATAGGTTTTGGTTTTGATTGGATCTTTCACTTTTTTTACTTCTAACTTCTAACAGCAACTGAACAACAACTACCAACAACCCATCAGCTCTTGGACATTGGAAGTAAAAGTATTCCAAGATCGAAAAATACCCAAAAAATTTCTTAGAAATTTAGCTTAAAGTTATAGTGGAGGATGTTCTTTTACCGGGTGGATCATCAAAATAAGTGGTCCTCCTAACTGTCAATAATTCTGGTGATATGTTTACGTAAGGCCGTCCTACGTGCCCATCCCCATTTTTACATACTGGTAGTGAGTCTGACGTAATGGAAAAATTGCAAATCTTCTTTTGGAAAGTAAGCTTCTATGAGCAATGCATACAAAAACTTTTAAACAGAGCGTGCACGAGGAGAAATAGGTTCCTGCATGCTCTTGCACTAGTTTAATAGGCATTGATCTCTATTTATTCACTGGATTGCTGGTAGCCTGTTGGTAGTACGGGGGGGAATGAAGCCACCGGCCGCCATATTGGTACTCCCGTGTTAGAGCAATCGCAATGTAAACGATACATGCACTACAGCATCGAACAACAATGATGTTTTCAAGGGGGCTTAAAACTTTTAAAATAAAGATAAATTCATCACTTCAACACAAACTTGCTGTTTCATAGCATAAGTAGATTACTGTAACTAATAATAAAAAAAAATATGCACATCACATTGTATAGTCATTATGAAGCCAATGAAGTCTACAAGTCATGTAATTCAACATGTTATACAAAGCCATCATAACAAAATTAACTTGTTGATGGTGCACAATAATACAAATGTTCCAATAGCGCTAAATTGAGGATGTACATGTAATATAGATGTATTGATGACATTGTTGTGGTAATTACATGTTGCATATAATTTTAAAATGTCACATCAAGACTCAATTACAAGTACACATCTGTTAATGCTATATTTTCCTATTTGCAAATTGTGCATGCAAGATGCCATATACGTTTATGTTGTGTCTGTGCTTTAGCCTTTAAAAATGTTTGAGTTGTTTTTTTTTCAATATAGCCTGCTATTTATTTCAGTACGGGACTTTTTCAAATGCAACAAACACTATAAAAACGGCAGCATCATCCACTTATTAAAGAATTAGTACATTGACATTTCACAATTTTCTAACGTTAGACACAATGTCAATGGCTAACTCAGTCAATGTCTTCGAGTCGGTCCGAGATAGCCAGACTGATGTTACTCTACATACTATACTATGGGATACATCAGAGTATATATGGGTTTTCTTGGTTAGTACATCCACTGACTGTGAAATTACCTGTGAATCGTCTTCCTACAGCTGGCAAACTGCTTGTTTTTGCAGCCAAATGCTACATACGTCTGCATTTTTTTGGCGCATCTCTGTGGGAGTACCAATATGGCGGACGGTGTTTCACTTTTTTGGGCTATCAGCAATAAAGTTCATAAATAGAGATGATTGGGTACAGGGTTTTGCATGTGGATTTTTTTTTAAGTGGAGAGGATGGGTCTTTTAAAAAATGTTGGAAAATCCTCCACTTTACCTTTTGGTAATTTCCAAATTTTCACCACAATTTAATCCTCGGATGGAGTGCCTTAAGCATTATACGACTTGGAAATTTTCATACACTTTGAAATGCTTTACATTCTGTCACATTACGACCACAATTCTTAATGTATTCGAATGGGATTGTATGACATGGGCGGACACCATAAAGTAACTTTTAAATATGATATGGAAGGAAAATCAATAATTTTGGTTTTCCATTTAAAAAATATCTGATTAAGCAGATTGTGTTTTTTTATTTACAGTAGGCTTCCTGTGTCAACACTTATCCAAGACACCTACAGGTCTGTCAATACTCCAGCTTTATATCTGACCGATAGTTTTGTTAAATGTTCTTTGCATAATAAATGTAGATCTACAAAAGTAAATGTAGAGAGGTTGTAAATATTAGTGCCTGAATCTTGCCATGCATTTTCTTTTCGACTTCGACAGGGCATCCTATAACATTGCAGTGAGTGAGCAGCCAAGCACCTTTTGATTAAAGTATAAAAGGTTTTTTAAAATTTTGCACAACATCAGACAGTTTTTTGTATTTCTAATATATCAAACATGCTCCACTTCACCTAATACTGTACAACACAGTTCCATCCTTAAAGATGCGTAGCAGCTTGTTGTCCGTGGTGACGTCATGGAAGTTGGCCCCCTTCTCATTGGCAAAGAAAAGGTCTGGCTTCCATATGGAGTCCAGCATGGACGGGTCCAGGTCCAGCGAGGAGTCTGGGTATTTACTGTATGCCAGTCGAGGGTCGTTCCACTTCTGTCGCAGGAAGATGTTCACTCTGTAATCCTGCAGAGACCACAAGAAGCTTTGCATATTTTGCTGCGCAGCAATTTAGAGGCTATAAGAAATACATCCTGACATTCTAAAGGTCAGTTGACAATGTCCTGTTTTAGCGATGGCTAATTTTAATGATTACAGTGATAAACAGTCATATAAATAAGAACATATAACTATCATTGATAGAAAATTCATTGTGCAAATAGGAAACACTGCCAAATTTTTGAGTAGTTTAAATCTTTTAAACTACAAAAAGATACATCTACACATTCTGTTATACTCAAATATCAGCTTTGGCTGCTAAACATCAAATTCAAACAAAAGCACAATATGAACATCAATAATACAACTCTCTTAATAAGTTCATATTCTATTAAAAGAATTTCTTTAAATATTTTCTAGAGAGAATTCATGTTTAAAACAATATTTCGGTTCACAAGTTTGCATTTACAGAGGATTTTCTCTAATATAGCCAGGTTGAATTGAAGTGCGGTATGTACGTACCTGTATGCAAACTATTAAGTCTATTAACTTATTTTACAGGTTAGGTCTATGAACTGAAAGGAGTATCCAACATGTCTCTAAATAATTCTTAAGGAGTGGTCCAACATGGTGGTGTAACATCTAACAAGATTTAAATGAGAGTGTAAGCCCACAATACATACATATAGATAGATAGATAGATAGATAGATAGATAGATAGATAGATAGATAGATAGATAGATAGATAGATAGATAGATAGATAGATAGATA